CCATAACTCCCCCCCCCCCCCCCCCCCCCCCCCCGAAAAATAATTTGCTGGGAAGCTTTATTTGTATTTTTAGGTATGCCCACATGTTGGTATCATAAAATTCCTAAGATGCTTTTCAAATGCATCATCTTTAAGCCAAAGCCTCTTCTGTGTGATAAAACCCTTTCTTTATCTTCCTCCCTTTTCAGTTTTTGGTAACAGTAACAGTGTTCATGCAGCAAGGTATTTTTATTCATTCTTCATTGGTATTTTCAGTACAAGAGCTACAGGTTCTTCATCCAAAATGTAAATAAACATTGACATGCACACTGTCTTGCTTCAAGAAATGTTAAAAGTTTAACTAAATTTAAATGGCAACTTGACAAATGAACAGAAAAGAAAGGTTGTTAAGTATAAAGGCACCATTTCTGGCTCAGAAAGCATCTGAATTGTCAGTTTGCTGGAGACTGGAAGAGTCTTTTGGGAAATACTGCTATTTACTTATCTGTTCTTGCACTGTTCCCAGGATGTTCACTTTTGACTCCTGTGGGAGAAGTGTTCTGGCCTAGAGAATCCTTTGTTCTGATCCAGCATGGCTGTTCTTTTTTTCTTACACGCTATATATATATATTACTGTCTTTCCTATTATAACTCATTGTCCTTTTATAATAACTACTTCGTGTGTGAGCTTTGTTTTTGGTAATTGCAAAACATTAGGTTGCTAAGTCAAAGGCACTGGAAAGGCCATGTAGCCTCTGCTGCCTTCCGTTTGCAGCTTCTGTGTAGGAGATTAACTTTCCCCAATTTGAATTTTTTTGAAAGTTTGTGCTCACTGTTACTGTTTAAGTTACAGTTTGATATATACTTTGCAGTAACTTACAGGACTTAATTATTTGACAGATCCTTGGATTGTTACGATCATGGCTAATCTGTTTTAAAATATCCTGGGGATAGATGTCATGATGCCATATTACAAGCTCAGTCCTTGGACTGAAGAGTTTTAATTTGTGAAAACAAAGTCAGCATGTTCTCTATCTGTAGGTCAAAGGCTGTGTCAGGGCTATGCAATAGATGTATGGAGCTGTTTTAGAGAAGTCAACTCTTATCAACAGTGGGACTATTGATACTAGGAAGTCGTGTAGTAACTTCTAGGGAATATGTGGATACTAGGCTTTTGTCCTCAAACACCCCCAAAATCTTGTTATTAAGCATGTGTGCAGGAGTTGGAGTTGGTTTCCTTTGGACATGCTACTGTGGGTGATTTCTTGCTGTTGTGCTTTATCTAGTTTCCTAGGAAGTCATTTTTGCAGGGGGAGGCTTCAATTTGGATACTGTTGTTAAATCCTGGTGCTGTTAACTCAGACTGTACGGTTAAAATGACTGCAGTTCTGTTTTCTCAGTCTTTCAGCTGCTTTATTCTGTCTTCCTGTGACCTTTGCAGGTATTTTTCTATTAGGTGGAAAATAACTGGTAATTAACTGTAATGTATAGACTGCTCTGTCTTTGAGGAGCAGTTTGAGGTACTCAGTCTGTTAGGTTTTGGGGTTGATTTCATCACTTCATAAGTAGCTGAAGGATTTATTAGGACAGCTTTTTGGAATAAGGATTGACAATAGTGAATCCTTATTTTTTATGAATCTCTGTGTTACA